TGTTGATACTTAAGAAGTTGATTTTGTTATATTACGAAATATTACATTTATATTAGAAAATTGTATATAATATATAAAGAGTTCAGTTGTTTAAAGAGAGAATGTTGTATATGATATGTTAGAACAAAAACAGAATGCATAGGTTAATGAATTTATTAAGTAGAACGTAAGCTATATAAGAAATTAAGAAAACATATGGCATGTAATGTGTATTCATTTTAAATAAATTTAAAATGTAAGCATAGAAAGCAAATAATTGTTAAATTGAAAAATTATTTTTGAAGAGAAACGATTTATAACCAATAGGATTATGTGTAACGCATGTCCCAAATTTCTTAAGGCCTTAATCGCAATCATTCCTCGCATTTAACATAGTCTTCTATATTGCTTTGCTCAATGACGTGATTAAAACATCCACTATAGTCTCAATAAATCGATAAAATAGTCAATTTTATAAGACAGATGGCGAAAGTTAAAAAATTAAAGCTGACTTAGAGTGTTTCCTTAGTCAATTTTCTTTCACTGATCTTAAATAAGCTTTACTTGATCAAGCAAAAAGAGTCAGAGTTGGAACATATGCTTACGAGCCAGTATGCCTCAATATTATTCAACAAAATTAATTTTTATTTTTCATAGGGCACTCTGTATTCGATGTTAGAAATCTTCACCTATTACTAACAAATAATTCGGTTACCCATTTTACTTTCTAGACTGAAAACGTTATCATGACAACCAATATCCTTGGGTGAAATCAGTCTGCCAATAATTGTGGGTGTTTAATGCGCTCTAGAATCTCTGCTTGATACATACAAAGCAGTAGAACAACTTATTCAGCCATATGGTGCATTAATATAACTTCACAACTCTGCAAGATCAACTGTCAATTGTTAACCAACAGAGCATATTAACCATATTCACGTGGAATTTATAAATCTGAGTATAATCACAGCTGAAACACTTTTTCGTTGCGTACCGCACAAGTGAACATTATAAGAAGACCACAGTAAGTAGAGCTCTCGGTTCACGTTGCATCTGTTGATTTCTTCCTTCGTGTCATAAATACATCGACACCTACAACAATGGTGTCAATATCAGACGGATTTACTATTGATAAGCGCTATACACCAAGGTAGAGACATTTTCAAAGAGATATACTGATATACATTGATATATACTGTTCTACTTCATTGTAAAAACAAGGTTCCTTTATCTCGACCTGTGTTTCTTTCAAATTCTATGCGCTTACTCTTTCCTACTCTAGAATTGTGGAATTCACTATGTTAATGAGAAATCTATCACATAGTTAATTTCTTTATAATTTGATGATATTTCATGACATTCAATAGATTACAGTGAAGAGTAATCTGACGCAAAAATGACAATTTCATTAGAAAACACTTATACACCACATAAATAATAATTATTATCTATCAGTTACTCTAGAATCGTTTGTCGTTAGAGCTATTTAAACCATAATTTCAATGTAAAAATCTTATTTACTGATTAAGTCTAATTTTCTGAAAATTTTTATAAGATTAATCAAACTATGTTTTTCAATCTCACAAAACTAAAACATTAGTCAGGGTTATACCGATTATTATTATCATCAGTATAGGAGCCTCATGTATGATTTCAACTAAAGTATTATTTGTTCCAACTCATTTACTTCCAATTGATCCCTTATGTGCGTCAGCAGATTGTAACTGACACAATTGGACATCACATTGTTTATTAATAGGTCAGGCTAAAACATGACACTTTTCTGTATCTAGTAGGAGTCCGTATTTTATTTTCAAAATTGTAATACTGTCTAGTTTTGGTCGTAAATCAAACTCTCAAATAACAATGCAATAATAAAGCATTTTCCACGCGATAGCATGTGCTACCCACTTCAGTATTAAATGAATATTTGACAGAGCTACTTCTTGTGACAAGCAAGCACTGTTTAAAGCTCAAGATGTTATTTCTTACGAAATTTGAACACATCCTTAATTGTAATATATGTTACCTTATCAGCACATTACTTCTGTTAGTATCAATTTATATTGACGAAATATAGTTTAAATATGTCAACTCAAGCACACATTTTAAAATAGACTCAGTCATGAACAGAATAGAAAAAATAAATACGAAAAAATTGATCTTTAACATAATAGATAATGTATCATGGTTTAGTAAGCTGATTAGATGAGGTCATCATCCAATGACATCAGAATTGTTGGTCAGAACTGGACGAGTATAAAATGTCTACCCTTTTATTACAGTGTACCTGTTACCAGGAGATATTCGCTTTGGTAGTTTGCTTTCGTTAAACAAAGCTCGTTTAGCTTGAAGTATGAATTAGATGCTATGTCGAGAATAGAGCGATTTAATTCAATTCTCCAAACTTACTTAACCTGCCACAAATATTTTCACGCTATTATAATGTAGATTTTGCATAAGAATTATGTAAATTTCCTCGCTCCCCCGCTCCCTTAAGAAAATAATATTTACTATTTAGACATTATTTTATTCCAATAACAATTATAATTTTTATTTATATATCACTTTTTACACTTGCTAGGCGTTTATTGTTAAAATTTTATTTTTATATACGAGATTCGTTTAAATATAAAAGCATATTAATAAGAATTGCACAAGACATCTCTGAAATGTAGATTCTAAAAAATTATTCCTTAGTTTTGTTTTTTTTTTCTTTTGGTATCAATGTTAACACCTCGTATTCCTTTACGTTAACCTCTTTACCCTCATATGGCATATATAATACTTTATGTGATGGATGGACTTTACCCGGTAGCATGATGTTATTGTATTGTGCTCGTCCTGTGTAGAGATGTTCGCCAGAACTTGTATAACCTGTTATAATAGCATTGGGCGGTACATCTCCATTAGCAGCAGATATCCATTCACAATCACATTCGACTAATACTTCAACATCATTACGCACAAAATGTGCATCACAGCCATAGGGAGTATAAGCACCACCAACGTTTGGTATATAGTTAGCCGGTAACAAATCTTCAGCGTAGTATACTCTTGCAACATAAATATCATTTCCGTTTTGATCCTTGCCTGCTTTAATAGCACCTTCTGGTATCTTTTCTGGTCCATTGTGTGTAGGTGGTTCAAGTGGCAACCAGATAGGTGAATTCGACAGTTCTTCATCAAGGGCATCATCTTCAGCAGTACGTTCACCAAAGTTCAAATAAACCCGATGTACTCGATTACGATTGCAGAACCTTTTACACTGGGGACAATTTTGGGCACGCGTTAACCAATGAAGCAAACATTGTTGATGAAATAAATGACCGCAGAAAGTAGTTGAATAGACATAATCAGTACTTTTATAGAATTCAGCGCAAATTGCACACATAACATTTAAAGAAGCCATTTGTAACAATGCACTTAACTAACCCGAGTTATTTCACAATATTAACAAAAAAACTTAGTCATCAGACTTTTAGAATTATACTAAACAATATACAAAAAAAATAGAAATAGAAACAAAAATCAGGTAAAGTTTTAACGGCCTGCACTCAGGTAAATTAATAACAAATGTCAGAAAAGAAGCAGTGTATCGTTAGATTTGTATTACATCGATAAGGCGGTTTACGATGTCAAAACAAACAGATACTGCACTGTTTTATTATGCTGCATAATTTTCAAACTTTCCACTTAATTTCATGTTTTTAATTCTTATAGGACTCAAACGATTACACTCTGATTCCACTTTATAATCGAAGTCATTAGTACCTAAGTTATAAAGCCTATAATTTATACAATCTATCCATCGTTTTATCTTACTTTTTGTTGATGTTCTCTAGCTTGCTATGCATAATGTCAATTGATCTCTTCTGATCTCCAACAGTGAGGCGTTGAATGTGTTTCTACAGAATTAAATAACGAAGATAGATATATTCTACTTGGCACATGGGATGAATTGGTTTTGACTGCAGAAATAAGGAATACAGATATTTTCTAATTGGTATATGGATTGAAATGGTTTATGTATAGAATCAAATAAAAAATTATAATTAATAAATTTAATGCCATGCACGTTCAAAATGCTTTATGATGTCTTTTCGTAGAATTCTTATTTGTCACACATAAAACATTTATTTTGGTGGTTTATATTATTATAGCTTTAAAATTAAAAACTGCTCTTTATTGCCAATTAAAGATTTTCAATATTGTTTGCTATAAGTTCTATGGTGTTCATATGGGCAAATCTTTGACAATAAATTGAATAAAAAATTCAGTTCCCAATTTTCCTATATTCCTATGTAATACTTAGTATTATACTTAAGAGTAATGATATTAAAAATTGTGCTTTCAGTATCAAAATAAAAGGCAAAAGAATTTGTGAATTATAATGAATTGCATTTCATCTCATTTAATATAAAGGAGACGACAGACTTAAAAAAAAACGTTACGTGTGAATCTCGTACAACTGCATGGGTTTTGTAATTATTTTGTATGGTTTATTAGACTTGATATTACATATTCTAAACATACTATAAAATTTAATTAATAAATGCAGAATAGAAATGGAAAAATTGACTAACATATTATTAATTGTCTTATCATTTACTGTAAACAATGAAAAAATATGTCAGCACACCTATGGAAAATAGAATTTTAAAAATACAATAATATAAAATAATATAAATTGCTTTTAGTTTCTTTTTTGTTTCACTGCACTGCTTTAGCTATGAAAGTTAAAATTTTAGTTGCTAATTCATTTGAAAGTTGCAATATACTGAAGTTGCAATATACTAAGATATATTTATATTTTCATTTTATTTCAGTAAGAATATGAGTAACAACTTTTATCAAATGAATACTTATTTAAAAACGTATATTTTAAAAAATAGCTTACTCGTTTTAAATTAATTGGAATGATGCTTTACATGTAATGATGTTTTAATGTACCTCTTAATAAATGTATTGAACTCTTTAAATAAAAATTTTATTTTCAAATGTGTATCATGTTGCACTGTACTATCGACAAAAGCGCCATTACTGTCAAAATGACAAAAAGAAGCGTTTCTATGGTTTGTCGTCTTATTTTTTTCAGCCAAATTCTTTTTGTCGACGACCGGATAATATATAAAAAGCTAATGCATTTATTTTTTTATTATATCTAAATGGAATAAACTGTTACAGAAAGTTTATATATTTAAAAAAATCTTTGAAATTAAAGTCTCTAAATCAGTTTCTTAACAAAATTGCTTTGGACAATCGATAAAATGTCTGCTGTTGTGCCAGACAGTGGTGACTGGATATGTGGTGATAGCGAGTGAGTGAAGTAACAAAACACATCGTGGTCAAGTTTTGTTCACAACGCCAACCTTGAAGACATGTTTGGCATAAAACGACATATGTTAATAATGAAAATTTGCATATTTCTTTTGCAGCTGTCGCCATTTAAACTTTGCGCGGCGTACACAATGTAATAAATGCCAACGTGAACGTAGCGTTGAACGTGGTGCAACACCGGCAAAGAAAAAGTTGGGCACAGAAATTGGAAAAGCGGCGGCTGAAAAATCAAGGGGTCTTTTTAGCGCTGAAGATTGGCAATGTAATAAATGTGGCAATGTCAATTGGGCGCGTCGACAGACTTGTAATATGTGTAACGCCCCCAAATTCAGTGATGAAGAAAGGACTGGTGAGTTTAAGAACGTCGTATTAGAGAATCATTGTTCAGAATATAGCTCAGAAATTGAAAATAATAAATTTTATTATTAGGTTACGGTGGTGGTTATAACGATCGTGGTGTTGTCGAATATAAAGAACGTTCGGAATCTGATAGTGAATACGATGAATTTGGTAGACTGAAAAAACGTAAAATTGCAAGTAAAGACAACAATTCTGATAATAAGCATAAAAAACTTGAAACCAGTGATGAAGGCGAAGAAGACGATGAAGAGGATGGTGATGAAGATCTTTCCAAATATGATTTATGGGGTGATGATGATGCTCCTACCAATACATCACCGAAAAGCAATAACAATGCGCAGGAAGTGAAAACCGAAAATAAAACTAATAATAAAAGATTGTCTCGCTCAAGATCATCTTCCCATACGTCCAGATCAACATCGACTTCCTCGACATCTTCTACCTCATCAACATCTTCCAGCTCATCATCTTCATCATCAACTTCGAGCAGCACTCGAAAATCTCGCTCACCTGGAAAATCAACAAGTAATATTCTCTTAGGAGGACGTAGATCCCGTGAACGATCTAAATCAAGTTCACAACGATCTAACACATCATCCAAAAAAATAGATCAGCAGTCTAAGTCACGTACCAGATCTCGATCATCGTCTATCTCTTCATCTCAATCATTCAAACGAGGTAGCTTATTAAATAAGCGTAATGATTCCAGCCGTTCTCCAACATCTAACAACCGCAAACGCTCTAGGTCACGCAGTCGCTCTCGTAGGCGTTAATTTTTCGAAATAGTCAGAATTAATTTAATTTTCCTATGTTATCAATAATACCTGCAACCAAATCTACACTTTTCAAAATTGACTTTGTTTTCATTGGAATGGCCTGCAGATTTTTAATTTATTTTATTCATAATTTTATTTAATTTTGTGCTTTGTATATTAGTTTTTTCTTTTTAAAAGTTAACTACTACAGTAATAAGTCAACAAAATGTGCTTGAAAATAAAATTGCTGTCCAAATATTGCTTTCTTATTAATTATACATTTTTTCAAAAAAACAGTATTTTTCAATTGCAACTTTGCCTGATTATGCACTAGGACGAAATAGTTATATCTATTCTATATAATTGCATGAATGTGTTTTCTTCTCCTTTTTGGTTTGTACTTATGGATTGCATGAAATCGTTTCGTTCTATGCCCAACGCACGATTAAACTACAATCGCTCACTGAAGTAGTTCATAACTCTCACTGTCCTCCAATTTCATGGAATACAGTAGCCAATAACTAGCTTATTCTGCACAGTATTATAGAAATGGATTTGCTCAACTTCATTTTGCCTCTTTCATTCTAGCTACTGTAATTTAATCCTGCGTTGGGCACTAGTCTGTTAATAGTCTTTAAGATATAAAATGATACTACCACTATGGATCCGATACAGAATGCTTATAATACAATACTACCATGGAATATTTCGTTGGATAATTTATAAATATATTTTGTGTCGTATACACAATACATAATTATATAGCGACACTCATCATTAGCTATTTTTTAGTTCTTATCAAAAACAACTTAAAAATTATAAACTGATACTGCAAATAAATTGTTTTAGTATAATAATGTTTCAATTAAATCGTTTATATCGTTTCAATAGTTTTTAATTTTAAAAATATTTCACATATATAATATTCTATATTTTTAATTGTAATGATGCGAATAATTTTGTGAATGATATATTAAAAAAAATAAAACTTAAGGTTCGAGGTCCTTTTTATTTATGTTAAAATTCATTAAGATTTACGATCTTAGTGTTTACACTTCTGGTTATTTTAACTACTTGTTAAATCTATTGATCATGATATTTTGAATTTTATTTATGGTAAAATCTAATAAGACACTAAAGTCGGTCCTTTTACTTTTGATTATTTTTAACCCTTTGTTAAATCGCTTGTTCACAATATATTGGTGCTATTTACTTAAATTTTAACCAGAGCATATATAGTTAGGTAAGAGAAAGAGAAATATTTGTAACCAACTGATTTTTAGTGGTATGACGACTATAACATAATAAGCAACGATGTCATCACAACAATAAACTTACTATTATCAATCATTCCCTCGGGTGTAAATTTTAACGACAACACTAACCATTTTCCGTTGAGTGTAAACACAAAAATTGTTGAGCTGAGCTACATATCGTATGAATAACAACAACAGCAGAAGATACGTTAGAAAAGAAACTTATAAAAGAATATGAAAAATCGAAGAGAAGACACTGCTCTCCCCCAGGCCACTGTCAAGCAAATTTGCTTCGCTGACGACTGCCTTGTATTTATGCGGTCGTCTAGTGCCGCACGCATCTCCTGCGACCTGAATGCCCACCTTTAGACCCTCCTTGATTATTACACCCGGTGGAAAAGATTAAGCTCAACACCGGTAAGATATCAGTTATAGCTCTTCAAGGCCATACCGGGATCATACCGGTGGCATCGACTCCTCTGTCATCACCTCCATTCGGCTTGTGACCAAGCTAAAATAACTTTGTATTGTGCTATCTTCTCAGCACAACTTCATCCCTCACGTTGACTATGCCATTCACAACACTCGGTTTAGGCATATTCAACTTAAAACTGCCCTTCGCAAACACAACAAGCGCAACTGCAAAGTTAAGCTGCTCTGTTATAAAAAGCTCATTCGCCCCCGGCTCTTGTACGCTTATCTTACTTGGTCTACAATCTCTTCCTTCCAGATGGAAGAATCCTAACGGCATACACTATTCCATCTCTACCCTTTTTGGCTCAGCCAAAATTACTCGCATCGACCAGTATCTAGTTTCACTCTACCGAAGATAACTTACCTGGCTACATAACTTCCACCTCGAAATCTTTTTCCACAGCACTCTTCCGTGGACTTTGTCCAGTCCTTGCTCTATATACCCCTCCAACACTTCTTCCTTTATTTCGATAATCCCTCCCTCATCTCCCTCTATAATCGCGGCTCTCGTGACCTTGGTCACAGAGTCTACCGCTAGTACCCCTTCGCTTGCGCTATAGCTCCACCCCCTTCACTATCTCTCAATCTCAATAATTTACGCCCATACTTATACTATGTTTACATTATGAGATTAAGAGAACGATATTAAGTTAATCAGCATTTTTAATCTCCACCGTTTACATTAGATTGGAGATTAATTTTGACGTTCCTCTTATTGTGTTTTGGTAGGTGTGTTTGATAAATTTCTGTAAATAAAGCATTTAATTACAATTGTGTATAAAAATATCGTAATATATATTTAATAAATTGTTTTATGACAATAATTTAACAAAAATTTCACTCAATTCGGAATTTTTAAATTTTCAATGCTTGTTTTGAATAGAATTTGACATATCTTTTTAAAATCGTAAAAAATCTACGACATTTCTTCTAAGGTCGTAAAAAAATCTACGACATTAAGACATTTTCAAAGTTGCATTGAGAAATAATCATCATTTTGAAGAAGATTTAAATCTAATCTCGACGAAAAGGATATTAACTTTTGTGTGGGAAATCCTGCGATTAACAACGAAGTTAATACTTTAATCTCGATTTTTGCTTTAATCTATTTTTAATCATACAATATAAACGTCGTATTAAGTATGATATAAACGATGCTACATGTATGAACACCAAGTATGAAGACCAAGTATGCGCTTTGCTATACACTTTAAAACATCTATATCATGCTTTAAATGAAATGTGATAATTTAGTAATTATAAAACATGTTTTAGTTAAATATAGCACGTATACTTCACATTTAGAGGTATTAATATATTAAAATTTGAGACGATGATTGAATGGTGTGGAAGATACGGTATTAAAATGGCCTAGATGGAGACATTATGAATATTTGTATACATGAACTCTGCTTGGTTATGTGTTTGTAGAAAACCAAGAAAAAGGATGTTGATAAGTAATTTTACATTTATTTTGGTAAATGTGGAAAAATTCAAAAATAATAAATTACACATAGATTTTTTCCTTTCACTGTTCACAGCTTCATTCTCAGATTAAGAATAAAATGCATGTGTAAATGTCAAATGTGTGATATATCATTAACAAAATATGATGCATGGATAATATTGTACATGTATTTGCTTAATCATCTGTTTAACTGCATCAAAGCATGCGTAAAATACTGCGTAAATGCAGTTAATTGTGTGAAAACTGTTAAGAAAACAAATTTTAATTCTTAATTTTAGGCAACTACAGCAGAGCCGTTCAACGCAGTGTGCTCGCAATTATTTTGAGTTGAAAATTAAGGTAACTTTCAAATATAAATAATACTACGAAAAATTGCAACCCTTAAGTGGACAAACATGGCTTCCACAGGAGCATCGCTGCTACATATGTTGACAACAAATCACACATGTTGTACTATTGAGCGTATAACAATTTCAACAAATGGTGTAAAAATGTCTTCGTCATCGACGTCAATGATAGCACCAGTGGGATCAATATCCAGCAGTGGATCTACTGGAAGTTCCTCGCGTACATTGTCTCTTTTGGATAAACAAAAATTTATTGAAGAATATGACTTTGCATATTGTGATGAATCCTCTAAATATGAAAAGGTGGCCAAAATTGGACAGGGGACATTTGGGTAAGTTTCTTGCATATAAATGTAATAACCAATGCATTTTCATATCTTTTTAAACATTTAGAGAGGTTTTCAAGGCACGTGAGAAGAAAAGTAATAAAAAATTCGTTGCAATGAAAAAAGTGCTAATGGAGAATGAAAAAGAAGGTGTAAGTCTCAAATCAACAAATTTCTTTCAAAAAGTTAATAGTGTTTAAATATTGCTGTTTTTCATAGTTCCCAATCACCGCATTGCGTGAAATTAGAATATTACAATTGCTAAAACATGAAAATGTGGTGAATTTGATAGAAATATGCCGTACAAAAGCAACTGCCAATAATGGATATCGTTCCACATTTTATTTGGTCTTTGATTTTTGTGAACACGATTTAGCCGGCCTGCTGTCAAATATGAACGTAAAGTTCAGTTTGGGTGAAATAAAGAAAGTGATGCAGCAATTGCTAAATGGCCTTTACTATATACACAGCAACAAGGTTAGATAAATATTTGAATTTATGCTTAAACTGTGCTTATGAAATAATTTGTTTTTTAATAAATCAGATCTTACATCGTGATATGAAGGCGGCAAACGTGTTAATAACAAAACATGGCGTACTAAAGTTAGCTGATTTTGGATTAGCGCGAGCATTCAGTATACCAAAGAATGATACTAAAAATCGTTACACAAATCGTGTGGTTACACTCTGGTATCGCCCTCCCGAATTGCTATTAGGTGATCGAAATTATGGACCTCCAGTTGATATGTGGGGCGCAGGTTGCATAATGGCTGAAATGTGGACACGTTCTCCAATTATGCAAGGAAATACAGAACAGCAACAACTAAATTTTATTTCGCAATTATGTGGCTCGTTTACACCCGATGTATGGCCAGGAGTTGAGGAATTAGAACTGTACAAGACTGTAGAACTACTAAAGAATCAAAAACGAAGGGTTAAAGAACGTTTACGTCCTTATGTTAAAGACTTAAATGGGTGTGATCTACTGGATAAACTCTTAACACTTGATCCAAAAAAGAGAATAGATGCAGACACAGCTTTAAACCATGATTTCTTTTGGACTGATCCAATGCCTAGTGATTTAAGTAAAATGTTGTCGCAACATCTACAAAGCATGTTTGAATATTTGGCACAACCTCGACGTAGTAACCGTATGCCTTACCACCAACCAATAAATAATAAGCCTCAAGATAATAGTCTCATAGATAGAGTTTGGTAGATTTAGCACTTAGTTCATAGGTATAAGTTTAATTAATATGTTAAGTATTTTAACATTTGCATATATTGTATTGAAACATATTTTTAATATATTAAATATTTTATTATGTATAACTACTATATCGTTTGTTTGCTGAAAAAAATGAAACTGAGTTTAAAACAGATCTTCACCATTTTTGTTAGACATGTTTGATGCTCTAAAGACTTTCAAATTTTCAAGATCAATTTTCATTTCATTTATCTTTTCTTCTGTGATAGTAATTGGGACATCGCAATCTATTTGGTCCTGACGTGCCTTACTCAATTGCTTTATAGCTTCTTCTAAAAATGGTATTTGTTCATCTTCTAATTTTTTACGATACTCTTCTAAACGTGCTTCTTTAATATTTTCACAATATGTGTTGGTTAGTTTTTGTAATGATTCTTTGCGTGTTATCCAATGGAAATATTCTGGTGGTGGTTTATATACTAAATCAAGTTTTTCTAATATCCATTCAAAACGAGCATAGTCCCAACGGCGCAAGTATTTTAGAAACTTTTTACGTTTATCAATCAACTCCTTCAAAATAACTTTTTTCTTTTTATCTCTTGGGAATTTTTCCATATATTCCTGAAGGCTGCGTATTCGACCCGTCATTCTCGCAACTAAGTACATTTGTAAATTTGGATCATTCACTGTATATTAAAATGAAAAGCACACTTACGTTTCGCTTCCATCGAACCATAATCTAGAGAATGTCTTTGCACCTCCTTTATCATAGTTAAACGATGATGTCTAGAAGTGTAGTGGTGTTCGCAGTTACCCATTTGAAATATGCTTTGCACTATAGGATCGGCACTATAATAGTTAAAAGTTAGTTAGAATAGAAATTGATTGTTATTATAATAATTATTATCATACTTTTCTAATTCCTTTGAATTTTGAAATTCAGGAATATATTCTTGAGGATTTAGTGGCGGTAATTTGGTGCAGTCTCCACTTTTTTCGGGTTTAATACAAGATATTTTTTCCGGTCGCACCCATTTTATTTTTAAATCCGATTTAAATGCATATTGCCGTGTTAGTTGTTTTTGTACATTAATGGTAGTTTTAACCAGGTTGCAAATATTCATTTTTCTTTTACTTCACCAATATAATAACCATCAAAATAAAGTATACCTCTCTGAGACCAGCAGTTAAGGTTATGTCACAAATCCAAACAGCTGCTGAGTGCCAGTGTTACTTCAAATTAATTTTCCTACACATCAGATACCTTAAAGATATTTGTCAATATATTTTAGTGCAGACTTCATGGCTTTGTTGTAAGATTATTAAGGTTAAACAGAGTGGTTAGATGTATTTATACTCTTAATAAAATACATAATTTCGATTTTTTAATGTTTCAATAGCACTCGACATACTGCGCTACTTTTACTATTGCACTTGGTTTTCGAGACTACTACACCACAACGTTATTTGTTACTTAGTGGTAAATATTAGGTATTAGGTCTGTTCTACGAGCTATTCGTAATAAAAATCAAGTAAAACACAAGTAAAGTACAAACTGAGAGTGTAACACAAATAAAGTGTTAATTATGCTCTTTGTACAGATTTTCATGGAACAGTTTTGTGTAAAGTCTGGTGAGAACACCAGTGCTGCGCAAATAAACAATACCAAAATTTAACCTCAAACCAAAACAGCTGATTCACACATCAACACAAATTTTGTTTGAAATTAAATGTACGAGTAAAGTCTGTGTAGCATTTTCAAATTTCGACAGGGATGTTACGCTCTTTCAGATGTTCTCTTTTACAGTGTTACTCAAAGTTACTACGAGTAGCTCGTGCAATAGATCTATTATATACAATTAATGTATTGCTGACACAAAAACTAAGTAAAAGATATAGTTAGTTAATTTGTTGGTTACAGCTTTTTTATAACATTTGTGACTTTTAAGACAATAGCAAACATTTGTTCAGAATGGTACGGTTTACAAAAATTGTATGGACAATGGTGGCGCTCAAATATATTAATTAAACTCTCACAATTTGCAAATCTACTTACAAGTAATAAAATCTCTTCGATGCAGAAAAAGTTAAATCTACTCCCAATTTTCATTTGATGATACTATATTTCCAAAACAATGAAAAAATGTTGAAAGGCAACACTGTTACCTGCTGATTTGGGAAGAAAATTTCTCAATTTAATGACTCGAAAATTTTAATGGTGTTTTCATTTGCTTTCCAACGATTTTTTTTTTGGCAATAATTTTTTTTGCACATATGATGGCTTTCACTTTTTGAATAATAGCTTGTGAAGTTTTTCTTTTGTTGTTTAAATTGTTTTAAAAGTCGATTTTTATAAAATGTTTTTCTACTGCATGTTTGTAATGAAATCTTTGTAATGGTATATTTGCATAAATTAAATATATATATATATATACAAAAACTCTACACTGCCCATAAAAACAAGAATGTCCTTACGCGCAATTAAGAAACGGGAAAATCAGTTGAACTCCAGCGCAGCAATCAAGCCAAAAACGTTCTCCAAAAACTTTAACAATTTGCCTGTGTGTTCTAAAACTAAAAATACAAAGCCAAGTAAACATAACGCAACAGTGAATTCCTCCAGCGCAACTCTCAGTTCAGTGCATAGTTTGCGTAAGCAACATATTTTACTTGGTCGCGCTATACATTCTACGCCTGACTTGCAGCAAACCACAGAATTGTATAGACTCGTAGCTGCAAGCGCTCACTTGGTGCGGACAAAATCTGCAGGTGATGTTGACAAATTAATAACCAATTATACTGGGAACTTAACTGATACTACTGGTGGTGGACTTACGAATGCTAAGTCTGAAATTTGCTTGCAAACAATTTCATCGCACAGTTATACAACAACGCACGACACAAATTCAATATCGTCACAAAGGCAAAAGCAAGGCAATATGATATCTGGTGCTCGATCTCATCGTGATCTTACACAGTCTGCATATGTACATTCCTCTAATGATATGATGACAGTACCGCATAGGCGTCGCATGAGCGAGTGCAGTTATAATTCCAGTGGCATGTCATCAAGTGCTTTGACGCTATCCTCAAATAACACCGATCAGCCAAACAGCGTGGTGCGAGTGCCGATTATAGGTTACGAGGTTATGGAAGAGCGTGCACGCTTTACTGTGTACAAACTGCGTGTTGAGAATCCACATACTAACGACTGTTGGTTGGTACTGCGGCGCTACACAGATTTTGTGCGTCTCAATACAAAATTAAAACAAGCTTTTCCAAATGTAACTTTAATGCTGCCGCGTAAAAAAATATTCGGAGACAATTTTAATTCTGTATTTTTGGATAATCGGGTGCAAGGTTTGCAGATGTTTGTCAATTCCATTATGGCTAAAGATGAATTACGTAAATTTAAAATGGTTCGAGAATTCTTCTGTTTGGATGAGCCACCAACATACTCTGAATCAATGGAGGAATGTAGGGTAAGTAGAGTTGATGTTTGTATTTAATGAATTTTTAAAACTATTAAAATTTAATATTTAATTTTTAGGCTATTTTCGAAGCACAAGAGGAAACAATAGCACATCTTAAATTACAAATTAACAATAAAAACGATTTAATTTTAAGTCTGCAACAAAAATTGCAGGAAGAAATGGCAGAAAAGGAGCAACTTAGAGGAGCTTTAAAGTAAGTGTATAAATGAAATGTTATTTGTATTTGTTTGTAAGTAATAATAGGTTAATATTAAATTTAATTAATTATGTTTAATTAAATATGTTTACTTTATAATTGTTAATACACTATATAAGATATAAAACTATATCGAAAAAATGCTAAATACAGTTTTTATTGGAGTGATTATTTGAGGGCGTTCCTACAAGTTCTTATATTACTTGCGTATAAATTTACAAACTGTAAATATGTATCGAGTATATGTATGTTATGTTAACGTGTCTATCTATTCACATTTTAAAATTATTTATTATAAGTATTTATTTAAAATTAATTTTCGGAATTGCGATGTAAAACAAATACAACGTAAAGATATTGTAATTAAAGCTTACTAGTTGTTTAACCAAGCGGTGTAGCTTGATATCAAGGGTATCAATTGTGGTACAATTGTGTCGTTAGATTTTGTAATTAAAACATATATGTATTTTAAAAATCAGAAATGGATAAGTAGTTAAAATTCCTGTTATTGTAACTGATACATAAAAGTCTATTATTGGACATATGTTGTTATTGCTTTCGTAGCCTAATGCAGCCCATGAAAGTAATTTTATGAAGACACGACATTGACAAGACATTGCAGAAGGGGGTGAAATGGTGTAGGATAAGAGGTATGGTAGGGAGTTAGAATTCAAATATAGATTTTGGTAGGTAGGAGTTCTAAATCAAAATGGTCAAAGTTGAGAGTGCATTTGATCATAAAAGAAATGTATGACGTCATGCGAGATAGAGCTGCAGTTGCAGCATATACAGGGGATAAACGTATTTATGCGTGACTAATAATGGTTTACTATCTGGGTATAACCTGACCTATATTCGGTATCGATAGTTTTTGCTAAACCAGGGCTACGTCTTTCATGCAGCGGGAACTGTCCTTAATTGTGGTCAAGTTGCATATGTTTTCATTTTCATCCTTCTACCAATTTAGATAAACCAGTATTTTAACTTGTATTTAAACATATTGGTAGAAAATAAATATTGCATAATAAATATAAAAATATAATAGATAATAAATATCTAAATAAAAAGGGACTATTACTACTGTTGGAGAAAAGTGGAAAAGATGGATACTTATGTTAATTAGTCTTTTGTATTTTTTTTAGATATGAAAAGTTGATTGTTTTTCTTAGCATTGAGGCAAAAGCATATAGTGTAGATTATACAATAAAACTGACTATTTTTAGAAATATTTTCTTAGATTTTGTTTCAATAATAATAATTATAGCATAAGAAGAAAATAAATTATCACAAATTAATTATTTTTTTTTTATTTGTTTCAGGAATGTTTCTTTAAACTGCTCACAATGCTCCTCGACGAAAATTCCAATCAAATAACTTTTGATATTTTGACAATTGTATTGTCAACTTAGGTTTCTTTTCAAAAGGATTTATATGCTAAGCATTATTATTTACTACATCTATGTAATAGTTTTCATTAAGAAAAAAAAAAAAAAGATTGTTGAAATCACAAATCGAAAACTTATTTAATGTTTGACAATATTTAGAATATTAAATATTTGTTTTAGTTCTCTAAAAATTTGTAACAGAAAATCTCCTTTATCAATTTGTATAATAATAATATGTACTATTTATGTGTATTTATTGAAGTATTTAAAATATAGTGAAATATTGTTTAATTAAAAAAAACACAAAGTGCATTATATCAGAAAAACAATAAATTTTTTGACTAACTATCTACTACAATGTGTGTATGAAGAACAATCTGAATGAAGTAATTAATTATTATATTATGCTATTATGTGTAATGATATTATTTTTTAAACACTAAAGTTTTATATATAAGTATTGGCACTTTTGCTGTGCAAAAATAAAATATATAGGTGCAAACATAAATATATATTCGTTTTGTACATTATTTCGTCATAATTAAATAACTAATTTTTGTCTTCAAATTTGAGTTTTCATAAATTTAATCAACATACAATCTAATTACGAATTAAGTATTAAGAGTAACTGTAAGAGCATAACACAATACATATTCAAGAAGTTTAGTCAACATCCCGCTAAAAGACTGCGCAATATTTAAAGGCTTGTCATTGCTGGAGGACGTGCATAAGCCTTAGGTATAAAGCCATATTTTCTTATTTTCGGTGCATATGCCCATAACCAACCGTCTACAGTTTGATTACTTAAGTCCGCATATATCCAATCACCGCGGCGCACGCTTAAATCATCAGGTGCTTGTGCCTATTAATTGTAATACATATGTATAAATAAATATATACATCTTAAGTTCGTAATATATACCTTATAGTCGTATAGCATAACGAGCTCTGTGCCATAGCGTAGATCATCTGTACCAATACCAATTTGTGGCTGATGCTGATGATTAGTCTGATTTTGTTGTATAAGTTGTTGTTGTAAACTGCTTAATCCATTTGTAGGATCTAGTGG